GGGAGAGGAAGAAGAGGAGGAAGAGGAGGAAGAGGAGGAGGAAGAGGAGGAGGAGAAGAAGAAGAAGAAGAAGAAGAAGAAGAAGAAGAAGAAGAAGAAGAAGAAGAAGAAGAAGAAGAAGCAGGAGGAGGAGGAGGAGGAGGAGGAGGAGGTGATGACCTGACCAAACACAGACTGAGACACACAGCTGATTTCTGAGTTTTGCTCACGGACTGAATGCCTTGCTGAGTTTCCTGCTTGCCACTAAGTTCTGCATGTCTGTGTGTGTGTGCATGCTTGCTGGTCTGCATGTCTGTCTGAGTGCTGGTTGGCTTGAGTGTGTGTGTGTGACCCGCAAGGGTACTTGTCCATTCGTTGGGCCTTCAGGGCCGGTACTTACCTGTGGCCTTGACATTGAGGGATTGCAGCAGGGGAAAACACTCAAGTAGCAGGTAGGCCAGTCCCGCACCCTGAAGAGGTAGATGTGCGGGTACTGGAGGCCGAGCAGAAGAAGACAAAAGTGGCATTTTGAGAGGCCCAGTAGTTGTAGGCTAGCTCTGGGCGGGTACCAGTCCAACCAGTCTGAGTCTGGAGCCTGTGCGGGCAATATCAGAGTCTGCAATGATGATTCCCTCCGAAAGGGAGGAGGTACCGGTTGCTGGGAAGGCCGCTATATCTCCAGGCCAGGCGAAGAGCCCAGCCTCATTGTCGGTGTGCAAGTTTGGCGACACACTGGTTGGAGCGCTGGCTGGAGCAGCGCTAGCTTGGAGCAGCGCTGCTGGGGAAGGAGCAAGGACACGGAGAAGGAAGAAGGACAGGAGGAAGGGGGAGCGCCAGAGGTACTTACCTGGCTATGGTGGCAGCCATCTTCATCACCTTGGTGGGCGCTACAGCAGGGAGACCCCAGCTGGGGAGAGCTACACCAAGAAGCTTTGAGGCAGAGTCAGGCATGGCGGCCTGAGCTGGAGCAGCCATAGCTGCTTTGGGTTGTCCTTTGGACATCAGGGCAAGGCCCAGTAGTCCACCATAGCCTCGGCCTATGAGAGTGGAGAGTGAGGGAGGCGGCCATGGCTATGGTGGACCTCAAGTGACACCTGCAGTAGAAGAGGAACTCGGACATGATTCTGGATCAGCCATTCAACATTGTACTATTATTTCTTGTATGAATAAGAGAGGAGGAGTAAAGGAGGAGGAGAGTGTTGGGCGAAGAAGAAGAGCTTTGTCACTTGTCTATGCTGGTGTACATCATCCTCTTCTTCTTTCTTTTTTCTTCTTCTTCTTCTTCTTCTTCTTACCCTCTCTCTCCTCTCGAGTTCATTCATTTCTTTCTGCAATTGGACGGCATTATACTATCCGATGAATGTGTATCTCGAAATTGGTTAGGATCATAACAAAGAAGAAGAAGAAGTAGAAGAAGAAGAAGAAGAAGAAGAAGGTGCGCAGACTTACCTTCCTCCCACACTGGTCGGTCCTTCCGTGGTCTTGGGGGTGACAGCGTGCTTGGTAGTGATGGTAGGCTTGGGGGCGTTGGCTGCAGCAGCACGTGGGCGATGGTGCAGCTTGGCACGGGGGAGCGTGCCTGCAGCAGCACGCGCCAATCACGAAACAAACATGCGAGGGGCCAGGTCAGACTGAGGGTGGAGGGGGCTCGCGAGGGTCCACAATGCCGCATGTGGGAGTTGGCCAGTACACCCCGCATTGCAAGTGAAATGACACGACCGATCCTGGCCGCCAATCTGGCAAGATCAGCGGCCAAGACCAGCTGCGCCATTTCGCTTGGAGTGCGGGGTCTACTGGCCCCAACTTTTGAATTTTGCAGTGGTGGTGGCCTCCGCAAGGCTCCAGGAGCCCGCCCAGCCACTTTCCTGCC